AATTGTAAGGTTATCTCTTTGGCCTCAAAAGAAAGAACAAATTAGTGAATTTGTTGGAAAATCCTTAGTGTGGATAGCTAAGGTAGTGGACGTAGACTTTGTTTGAGAAAGTCGAACCACTGTAAATCGCTGTGCAATTACTTTCAATTTTCTGCAAAAGCTTCCACAAAATTTTTATTGCCAATTCACCCCCCTCTTGGCCAATTTCGTCATTCGATTAACTCAACAGGGATGAATGATGTAATTTACACATAAAATTAAATTTTTAACGTTGGGGTATTAAAATGAAACAAAAACTAAATGTTATGCATGATTTTAAAAAATTAAAAATTTAGATACTAAATGCATAATTTAATATATTATTAATTACATGTGTTATCATAAGTTTTTCATGTGTAATGAGAATTAGGGTTTAATTAAATAATCATTTTTGTATATGTAATATCATCCCTATAAATTCAAAGCATAGTTTTATCATCAATTTTAAACAGATAACATTTATCATGTCATCATCTATATGTACAGATGTATTAAAAAATCATTTATATACAGGGCAAATGCACTAAGCCTTCTAGATGCATCTCATTATTTAGGGAAAAAAGTAAAATTTAATATGATATTTAAAGAAAAATGAAAAAAAATAAAAAATTTGAACACTCTTTATTTATAAAAAGAATTAAAAATTTATACATTATTCTTAAATTTTTGGATCCACCACTCTCTCTATATACACAATAATATTACATCAACAATTTAGACACATAGATTATGTAACATCATTTATATACGTAATAATGTCGCTTTAATCATTTGGGCACAAAAGATATCATTCAACCACAAACATTAAACATTAATTAATTAATAATTTTTATTTAATTAAAAATATTTTTTACTAGTTAATTTGGATGGTGTTATCTGCACTGATTTTACTTGTAATATATAATTACATAACTCACCAACTACTAGTTGATTTAGTGGGATGGAGCATTATATCCTTAAACAAGGTTAGAGGTTTGAATCTTGATGATTGTGAATGAAGTTGTAGCACCTTCGGACCGGTGCAGATGACCCGATCCAATCCGAGGTGTCATATTAGAGCCACCGGAGCAACCCACAGTAGAAATCTCAGAAAATTTAATTTTTTGTTAAAACACATAAAATTATAAAACAGTTTATAAATAATACAAGTTCAGAAAATCATTCATATATTATAAACAGAATTAAAATCATACAAGTTTCAGACTCTAATATAAAAACATAATACAACCTATATGCCCCCTAATCACATGCACCGCACTTCATAAGCAATGTCGGTGGAACTCCTTTACTGATGCCGATACATGCACTGGTTTGATTCTTTTAACCTGAAATGATGAGTAAAAGAATAAGCTTAAACCCTAAACCCTAAACCTTCAGGAGATCAAAATATGATGTCTAGTGTGTTCCAACCAAAACCAATGAAAAAGTGCAGATCTTTTTAAAATAGTAACAGTTTAAAACATATTTTTAAAACCATAGTATAACCTTCCAACCGAACACCTTTATGCAATTCCCCCATAACTGCATCTATAAGGACTTACCCTAAGCACACAGCAAATGAGCCATCCTAAGGGAGTGCCTTGGGGCCTTAAAGCCTACCCAAGGTAACCTTAGGTCCGTAAGAATTTACCAGCTTGATCAGAGTTGAACCTCTATACTTCAGCCTATCCAGATAATGTCCCAATAAAACAGTTCAAGTAGTAACCAATAGATTTCATGATCCATAAATCATGAACGATCATATTTTTCAGTAAAAACAGAAAATCAGATTACACATTTCAGGTAATCATGATCTTTTACATATGAGTTATTAAAGATTTAGACATAACATGAGTTTTCTCATTATTCAGACAAATTAGGGGCATTTTAGACATTTGGTTTTTGGAGAATTCTTAATAATTTAATCTAATAAGAGTATAACGATGATTTGTGGTATTCAAGATTATATATTGAATTATTAAGATTTCGAATCCAATTGAACCAACGATCCCAACACTGCAATATTTGTCAATCATTCGGACCATGATACTTTTCTATTATTCACTTTTTAACACTAATTGTAGTAGCTAAATTGATCAATATCAGAATCATCGTTGAATGGATCTTAGGGAGACGAATATATATTCCAATAGTATTTATTTCATTTATGTGTTAAAGGTATCACGAAATGTCGACGTGATGAATTCGTAATTCAAAACCCTTATGGCTGGTACAATATAGCGTTTCCAGATTTAGCTTTATTCAATCGCCGGACCATAGCAACACAGAGAAAAGCAGAACCGGGAGATCGAGCGAAGACATCGGGAGGATGACCGAAGACTTGGAGAAACTTAGACTTCATTTGACCGAATCGAAGCTCAGCTGAGATCCTTCGCCATAGACCGGTTCGAGTGAGGAAAAAACCGGAACTGGTAGCTCTTCGTGCTTCGCCATGGCAGTCAGTCTGCAATTTTTTTTTTTTTTTTGCTATTTTGAGTGATTGATTTCTCTACCCACTTCCACTACGAAAGAAACGAACAAACCGAATCACAGAAACCAAACGAATTTCTGAGCCACTGTATCATTTTAATAATTGCTCTTTTATTGCTTTCTTTATTAGTTTTTTCCTTGTTCGTGTTGGAATATAATATTTTAGGGTTAATTCACAATTGTTTACTGAACTATATCATTCATATATATATAACAATTATTTACTTTTAATACTTTCAATTATAATTATTTCTATATATTATGGTTTAAACTAAAATAAATATATTGATTGGCGATTAGAGGGATTATTAGGCGAAACAGTAGCTTTCCAGCTTTTGAATAAATGAAGAAAATATTGGAATTTGATTAGCTAATCCAAGCTTAGCTCTCAACCACTTGTGTTAGTGGGAATGCTTTCATTTGGATAACACATCAAATCACAATCACGAAACAACATTTTATTTGTTTGTTTATTTAGTTCGAAAAGCATCCAAGATTTTCTTCTTAAAATTACAAGATTAATTGTTCATCGTTTCTTTTACCCGACGAATGATATACTACGTTGTTGCAATATTATCCTTTTCTTTATAATATTTTAATCAAATTCTTATTTTATTTAATATATACATATATATTTATAGGATCAAATGTTTTTTTTTTCTCTAAAAATCAGGTCAATTATTTAAATTAAACGAAATCTCCTTAAAGTCAAGTTAAGTAAGAGAACGAATAAATTAATATTTAGTAGAATATTTGAATTAAGTTTGGGTTAATAAATACTCCATCCAACCCACACCTATTCTTATTCTTATCCAACATGATATTAAAAAATTAAAATCATTTTTATTTTATTAAAATTTTAGTTTAATAATTAACATCGTAATTTGGCTGAGAGAAAACCGGAAAAGAGAAAGATGCCCACTTTGAATACAAAATGTGGGGTACCTTTGGCATGTTCGACACACATTGATACCCTGCAATATTTCTCACTACCCTTCTGTTTTGGCCCCTAACTCTTGGACCCTGCACTTGGAGTTCCCTGGATATTAATCTCTTTCATCACAGGTATTTGTTTTCTAAATAATAAATAAACTATTCACTATAACCAACGGATTGGTTCACGCGGTAACCAGTTTGATATCGCTTAAGCAAGGTCTCGAGGTCGTGTTTTGTAAAGAGTGAGGTCATATAAGATCTAAATTTAGAGTGAAAAATCTGACACGACTCTATTTAGGACTAGTATAAATTTCTTCTATATATCTAGAGATGTTTGCTATAATATCTTTATCTATATATATATTTTTTAACTGAGTCCCTAGGTTACCAAATAAAAAAGTTATATTTGTGTGGAATCAGATCATATCAAATGCAAGTTTTACCTCATAATTTAGGTCGAATTTTGAGTCGGAGAGGCTTTTCTAGACTCAAATTAGATCAGGTTTAAGTAGAGAGTATAATTCTCGAGTTGAATTAGTCAAGAAAACCCAACTTATCATCATCCGAGAACAACCATCATGTTATATCTAAAGGTTTCACTTATCACTCTTCTTTATTGATAAAGTACACAATATTCACCAAACTATGTTGATCTATATGTAATTCAGATAACTTGTCCTGCCTTGATATATTATCTTCTCAAGTAACATAAACTCCAGTGAAAAAAAAGAGAAATAAGAACATAACAAACTCCTATAGCAAGCTAATCTATAGAACATAGCCTGATTGATTCTCATCCTACTTTCTCAATATAATTCAAAGCACTAAGAAATGGAAGTGGGTGTCATGTGTAAAAGAAGCTTTCATACCTAATGTTGTAAAAGGTAAGAAAAAGAGGGGGCAGAAATGTTCTTTTGGATTTTGTCATTTGGGGTTTTCAGTTAAATTCTAGCAAAACACACACAAACAAGTCGGATCGTAAAAGGTAGGAAAATGAAAGCATCACACACCTTGGATATCATCCCAAGATACAAAATACAAAACAGTAATGGAGTGTTGCAGCTATTTACTATTGGCTATAACAGCTTTAGCTTTTAGCAGGCTCGGCATCAAAGCTCCCTTTGTCACCTACCCTAGTTTGGCCCCTTCTTCATCACATTATCAAAATCTATACAAGTTTTTTGAATTCGACTTTTGTGGACAGAAAAAAATATATATTAAAAATTACAGATCTTTTTAAAAGTGATTACTCAAAATGGATCAAATGCGACTAACTTAGAACTTAATGAATTCAAATTTTATACATGGAGAAAATCAAATTCAATTTTCATGAATAGAGGAAACAACAAAAGGGGCTGTCTTAAAATAGATCTAATTCAACTCGATTCTAAATTTAATCTAAATGGAATATCTTTGATTTCTTGATTTTAAGCCTGAAAATCAAGGAGTAATGGTGATACCCTACAAAGCAAGCAGCTACAGTTTTATTTATTTATTTATTGGAATATATTTCCAGAGAAATAGTTTTGTACATAATAAGGGAAAAGAAAGCGATGGAATAAAACGAGATTTGTGTGATGAAAAGCACTTGAGAAGGAAAAAGGAAGAAGCCATGTATTTAACATGAGAGATTATTACTTAACAGAGAAAGGGAAAAATAAAAACAAAGAGATGGTAATACATGGCAATTAAGCAACGAAAAGAGAGTCACTGGCTGATCGGCGGCGGAGGCGAGCTAGAGCTGGCGGCTGCTCCGGAACCAGAAAGCAAATCAGCGATAGCACTCATGGCTCGAACCTGCATCTCAAGTGCCGCAATGTAATCGGTTGCTTCTTCGAGAATAACCGGTAACGGTTCCTTTCTACAACCGGGAACTAACCGGCCAAGAACCTTGACTTTCCTTTGAACAGTTGGTAAACTCTTCGCTCTCAATTTCGAGACGCTAAATCTCGGTTTCCTCGACCGGCTACTCCCGCTGAAGGCAGCCGTCACCGTCGCAGCAGCAGCAGATCCTCTGTTTCTCTTCTGCTTTCTAAACTTGAGTTTAACACGGCTCGTCAGAATCGCTCGGCTCCACCTGGTTCTACCTTTAGCCGCGACGGCCAATGCTCTATCAGCGGCTTCACGGAAGGCTCGGCCAGGGCGTGGAGCCGAAGGAGAAGGAGAAGAAGAAGAGCTGCTGCTGTTGTTGTTGAGACTGAGTCTGCTTAAAGCTTGAATCAGCTTTGAGGAATAGATTTGTTGCTGCGCCTCTGACTTCCATTTGGCGTGGCTCTGCTGCTGATTCTCTTTTGACATCGCCGCTGATGATTGCTTCTTTTTTTTCCTTCTGCCGCTTCGATCGGTGTTTGCTTTCGTCACTGGATTCGTTATCACGGACGCCATCCACTTGATCAAATCACGTCGAGATTCTTCGCCTCTCTCCTTGAACCGTATGATTCGATGAATTATAACAGAAAACGAGAAGAACAAAAAGATTCAAATCAAAATCCTGCAGAATGATATGAATTTATTACGAATTAAATGAATCTGAGTGGGGAATTGAGAGGAAAGATAGAAAGGAGGGGAGAGAGGGAAGGGGGAGAAGGTTTATAAAGAAATGGGATGGAAGCATGGCGTTAATTTAATTGGTATATTTTTTTCATTTATTTTCATGTACCATGAATGGATGGGATGGTGAAATTATTTAAATTTAATTGATTTTAATTTGATATAATTTTGTAAAATTTATTTTTAACTTATATTTAAAAAAAATATGAAATAAAAAAATTGAGGTTGGATAAGATTAAATTTAATATAAAAACCTCTAGCCAATATTAAAACTGCAATTCTCTATATTTTTTGGTATAACCGTTAATATAAGATCTATTAATTGATTAATTCGAATTAGATATTGCAGACAAGGACGACCCTCCAACCCAATTTTCTCCATTCTTAGCCGTCAGAGTTCAAACTCCTGACATTAAGATTTCTAGTACCTTATCTCACCAGACGAACTAATTGTTAGTATTCTCTCAACATTTCTAGACAAATATTATAATATCTATTCATGTATTTTCTTAATTATCTTTCTATATTCTTAATTAGAAATATGAAAAATAAAATTTTATTTTATTTTAAAATTTGAAATAAATTCGAAAATGTGAAACATTTATGAATCTTAGGTCAAACTAGATCAAATAAAGTTTTTAATTTTTAAATTAAATTAAAAAAAAACTAAAAAATTAATCTATCACGACTTATACTCATCTCTTATAAATGTCTCTTATTTGTTTAAATATACAAAATTAATCTTATCAAACTAGATACAATTTACAAAATAATAAAATTCTTCTATTAATTATTTAAAATTGGTGTATTTTTAAGATTTTTTAAATAAATTTTAAATCTAATCTTTATCCTACTTAAAGGAAGAAAAGAGAATACTTCTAATAAATATATAACTTAAGACGTAAAAAATTAAAAAATTAAAAAAAGAAGAAGTAAAAATACACAATTTAATCAACCAACTACATGTATCTATCAATGTACTTTTAAAGATTCTAAACTTTACTCTTTGGTTAAGCAGAAATAATTCGTGACTATTTATTATTTTGGGTAAATTATACGTTTAATATTTTAAATTATCATATTTAAACTTTAATTTTTTAAAAATAATACTTAAAGTTTAATTTTTTTTCTTTTCATTTTAGTATCTCACCGTTAAAAACTTTAATTTTTGTTTTATTTTAGTACATGTTTAAAATCTAACATTGAGTTTTGAAAAAAATAAAAATTTAAATATTAAAACAGATTAAAATTGATAATTTATGTACTTAACGTGTTAAGTTTTTAAATACTAAAATAAAATGAAAAATATTAAAATAGATTCTATTATTTATTATTTGTTTGGGTTTTGTGGTTGTGGTGGGTGCGACCTTTGGTGGGAGGTGGAAATGTTGATGGTCGGTCCGACTAATTGGAACGGGGTGTGCTGGTGGGGGCTCCCTGTTGGTTTTTGAGTTCGGTTCCGATCATTTCAAACACTGCCTGACACGTGGATTTTGGATAATAAAATTCAATTAATCGAGCTAATCAAATTATCCAAATTTTATTAATCTAAATTTATTCTTAGTTAACTGTTAATCGAATCATTTAAAAAAAAGAAATTTAACCGAACGAAATTAAGTTCAGTTAATTGAACGATTAACTGAATTAATCGAATTAATCGAAATTTATAAATAGTATATATTTAATATTTAATATTTTTTTATTTATTCGGTTATTTTGATATGTTAATTCGGTAAAAACCGAGTTCAAACACCCTAAATTTAAATAATATATATAATATTTAATAATTTCAGTTAATTCAGTTAATTTCGATTCGGTTGATTGATTCGATTTTAATCGAACATTGAACACCACTACCCTCTTACATTTTTACGATCTTGTAATATGTTAAATGCTTTTATAGAATAATAGGTTAAATATTTTCAAGTTTGTTTAAATAAGCATTTAATATTTTTAAATTTATTCTAATAATTTAAATCAATTACTATAAAATTTATAACCTATTAGGAAAATAATTCTCTTAGTTTAATTCATTTTATTCATAACATAAAAATTCAAACACTTCTATTTTATTATTTGTGTATATACTTACTGAATGCACAAACTAAATAATCTCAATAATTAAAAGGTGTATGAGATTAGTTATAACATATACTATCATTTGTAATCATCCTAAATCAATAAAAGAAATATATAAACCTATTCAGCGATGGACCAAGGGGGTTCTTGGGATACAATCCCATACCTAGAATTTTCAAATTCCTTTATATTTTATATTTTTTTGTATTTTCTATTCATTATCTAATTTTACACCTCTTAAAATTTTATAACTATGCATCTTCTAAATTTTTTAATATAACTTTTTTAGGTTTGTACTCTTTAACATAATCCGTCCCACTTTCTATAATCAAACAAACTTACAAGATCCAAACCAATTTTACTTATTTCATCATATTACCGTTAACAACAAAGGGAACAGTGCAGTTAGAGAAATTGTTATTTGCTTTTCGTCTTTCTTTCAGTAAACTCTTCTTTGTCACAGAAAGAATTCTTAAACGGAAAAAAAATGGTAATTCACCAACATTTACCTAAAAAGAAATAGTTTGATACAATTTCACTGATTAATGTCTTAATGAAAAAAGTTAGAAAGGTCCGGTGAGGTGTCAAAATGTGATGGGATAGATTCCAGATGTTGGCTTCCAGCCTTCCACTAATTGACTGGGGGAACCCAGTCTAACATAAAAAACTGTTTTCATTCCTTGCAATGATTATTGGAGGGGTGATGAATGACAAGAGACATCGACTCGATCAAGATACGATAAATACTCAGATTAAATGGACTCAACTCGAGCTTGATTCGAATTCTTAACGAGCTACTTGATACTCGACTCGAAAAGCTCGTGAGCAGCTCGAAAATATAACATATAAGATTATATATATTTTTAAAAAAATATTAATATTTATGTATTGATTTTTTAAAGAGAATACATTAAGATTTTCATGCATTTAAGGTTCAGGTTCGAGTTTGAGATTTCAATCGAGTTAAGTTTAAGAATTTTTTTTCTTCATTTCGAACTGCTCACGAGCTTCAGTTCAGGATTTCATATAAAATATATGAAATTAAAATAATCAAATTTATATGAAATTAAAATAATCAAATTTATATAATATATATCAGATATTTGTTTTATAATTTAATATTTATAATAATTGATACTAATTATAATTATTGTTTTGTTTGGGAAAAAATCAAACAAGTAAACAGCCCACACTGAGAGGTCCCCTGACCTTGGGATAATAAAAAATTAAGACGGTCCGAAGCTTTAATGTAATCATGAACCTAATCCAAATTCTCACCAAAAATCATTGTATCATGTGTATACCAAGGAATTCTAGGGCATTATTTCGAAGAATTATTAATATAAACCTTATAATCTAATAAAAAATTAAACACACTAGTTGAATTATGATGTGCCAGAGATATTGCCTCCCTTGTGCGAGACATGATAAAGCATCAGCGAAAGAACAGGGCAAAGCATTAAACGGCACGAAAAAGGGGGGGGGGAAGGTGTGGATGGAATGGTGAAAACAGAAGAGCAGTGATTCAATATTATTTAAACTAACTTTGGATTCAGCCATGAAATGGAGTGAATTTCATGGCTATTGATAAGATTTTGTACTAATGAAGATTTAAGAGTCAAAAAGAGAAGATTGGGTCCGAAAATTTTTATAGGGAGGGGAAACAAATAACCACAACTAGTTAAAGAGAGATCGGAAAATAGTCAAATACCCGATAAAGGAAGAGGGAATCAGAGAATAATACCAGTTCAGGTCTAATCCGCAAGAATATTGAAACAATTTTAGCTCATGAGCAGCACAAACTTTTTTCAACAGTTTCTCGGAGCAGCACGTCAACAAGATCAATATCCTACACATCATTCTCCATTGATATGATCAGCAACAGCAGTTCTAACTATGTTATCGGAGATAAAATATATGAAAAGTCTCACTATAAAAGAGATGAATAAGAACATGGTCAGAACATTTAAGTACTTGTTTAATTATCAGCCTAAGATAGAGGATATGTTAAAATGGACTAAAATTCAACTAGTGGGAGACTGGGAGCCCAAATCGCTGCATTTGGATAGTATCAACATCTTCAGAAGCAAATTACACAATTATAAATAAAAAAACAAAGTGACCCAATTTCAATTCATTAAATACCGAATATGCTCGTGCTTGACGATTAATCAATATTTTATCACAAAGACACTTATTGATGGAAAGCAAACATCCAATGATTGTGTCACAAATCACAATCCCTCATTGATGACTCAAATATTCCTTTTAATTATACTAAATGTTGCTTTAAAGTACAACCTTGCTTTCTTTCTCTCTCCGTTTAAAAAGAAACAAAAAGGTTTGAACTATTTACTAAGTTAAATCATTGCGGATTACATCAAATCTCAGCTCATTATGTAGAGCCAGACCTAAAAGTTTAAAGTTCTCGTTGATTTTTAAGTGGGTATATTAATCATGCTCTTGTTCAAAAACAAACAAAGTATATATTAATCATGCTCTTATTAAAAAACAAAGGTTTTCTGGATTACACCAAACCTTTTTAGTTTTAATCCAGCTAACTCTTCCTCCTTTATCACACATCACGGGGTGAAAATCTCATCCTTGTGATGCAAGTCCAATCTGCTGCTTTACTAGTGACTGTCGAGCTTCGTTTTATTGACCTACTAATGATTTATCTAACAATCAAATTACACCCAGTCCCCTTCACTTTCAAAAAAAGAGCCTATAAGATTGAATTTGGTGTCACCATCTGAAAATCTTCCCAGCATCCCTTCTCACAGTTCCTAGATATCTCCTCTAAAAGAGCCTATTATTCCTCATTCACTGTCCCTTCTATCCAAATGTGTAACTATTTTATTCACTTCTTGGATAAAAACAGTTGATAACATAAAAATAAATGTACAGTTGCAGCAAGCGGTCAAATAACTAGAATGTATAGACTATAGTTGCAGAAAATACAAACCTGAGACAAGCTT